GCACGCAATGATGTTCAAGGACATTTTATTTTCAGATGTAATAGTAAACACGTGTGCTTGGAGATGTATCGGTGATGATTAAGCAAGCATATCAGCAAAATGATTTTCTTTGCCTCTTGGAAGTTTAATGGAGCAATCGCTGAAGTACACTTGCCTTGTAAAGCAAGTAGCAGGGAAAAGCATATTTTACATCAATCTTCAGGGGGTCGAAATATTTTATTTTTCCCATTGAGACTCATGTAATTAAAAAGCGAAAGTGTTTATAATTCTAGTGCTCATAAGGCATGATATAGGAGTAGCTAGGAGTATAAATTAATAGCTTCAGGCTAGAGATGTAATAAAATGCTGTTGGGAAGCTTCTGTGCCACTGAAGATAAAAGTGAGAGTTGCACAGAGCTTTCTAAAGGACAGCCTACTGTAAGTTGTCCTCGGCCTGCAGAAATGTCAGAGCACTGCAAAAAGGAAGCAGCCTTCCAGTCAATGGCAACCACGTGGAATAGCTGGGAAACACCCGAAAAGCTCCAGTTGCTGTTGGTGCTGTTGGTTAGGGCAAACACAAAGATGGCTTATCAGGAAGAATGCAGAGCAGACTAAAATAGCCCTTAAGTCAAATACGAAAAAAAAAGAAAAGCATTTCTTTTATGCATAGGCTTTATTTAGGTGTTATGTTAAGCTTAGGAAGGCTGACATGCTTCTCTAGGCAGCCCAGGGCTGAAGATAAAACTTGAGGAGTGATGCAGTGTTTGGAAGGCTAAATATGGTTGACATGAATGAAAAAAATTCTAAAAACGATTTCAGTGTATGAGAGCCTATTCCAGACGGCTTCATCCTTCTAAAATGACGGGTGAAGACAGCTACACGATAGGCAAAGACTGCATCTGGGACACGCCGAGTCAGCCTGCCGGTCTGTGTATGGCCTCACAACAATTACCAGGCAGTGGCTCTATCAGATTCTTCCTTTTGCAGCTTCCAGCGTGGCTGAGCAGCACCAGCAGAGGCTGAGTGGCAGGAGATGGAATCAGCGGGTGCTGCCAAGTGCCCTGCAGCCAAACCTGGAGGTGCCCACGGTTATTGCAGGCTGTGCAATAACAGAACGCCTCCGCTGACCCATACATAAACACAGACAGGCAGCCGCGGTAATAATACATGCTAAACAGCATGAAAAGTGGAAGAGGAACTGCAAATTAGTTTAAAATCAACAGTTCCTTGGGGAAGTACCGCGAGAGGATCTGCTATAGTTGTTCCCCTTGATCAAACACTTAAGAAACAGTTATTATAGCTGCTCCTAATAGCCCAGCAGTGAGGAGACCCAAACACTGTGCCTCTTTCTTCTCCAGTCAACCTCTCATTGCAAATGAAATTTGAATGCCTTAAGATGAGAATTCACTGTTCTCTCATCTGTGCCTGACTCCCATAGGTTCTCATGTGAGTGCATTCAGGGCAAAAACCACAGCAGCCATCCTCATCGAGTCGGTCTCTGGATGGACGTTTTTGGATGTCAGCGCTTTGCTCAACAATAAGGGTTGTGTTTGGGTTAAGCTCAATTAAATAAACAGTTTGCTGAGGAATATTTTTAAAAGCTAACATTTAATTTCAATGTTCATTCATAATTTCATTCAATTACATAGTTTTGTATTTTCTTTCAGAAACTGGGCTGACTTTAATTAAAAAAAGATTTTTAAAATGAAGTAAAATGCTCATTTCACAGAAAGAGTTTTTCTTCTGTTTTCCAGAAGAAGTTCTGAGAGCTTTTCATGGCGTTTCCTTTGCCTCTGCCTACTTGCAGCTCTCCCCCAGCAGCCGTGCTGGAACACGCAGCCCTGTGAGGCTGGTGGTCAGACTGTCCAGACAGCAGGGATTCTGCAGCTGCATTTCAGATGTTCTGAAGGAGGAGAGATGGTGTGGCCAAGATTCACACTGAGAGAGAGTTGCGTGAAATGGGGCAAAAGAAATAGGGCAAGTGTGGATGATTTTAGCAATACAGTTTAGGAGGAAAAATTTTTGAGAGATGATGTCAAAGAACAGGGTGTGAATTAGCTAGTGGCTGTAAGAAGTGGAGAAAGCAGTCATAGCTGATTGAGGCTACGAGCTCGGGTCAGTAAAAGGACAGGGGGTGTGAACCAACAGCCAACAAGGATGAGCGAAGCCCGAGGGTCAGGTGAGGGGCAATGAATGGGTTTGGGGTGGCAACTGCATCAGGCATGAATAATTTGAAGGAGGAAGTAGGAAAGGTGATTAGAAAATATCCAAATCTGTATCCTTTAGAGATCTGAGCAGGGAGAAATAAAACAAAGAGAAGCTGATTCAAAGAAGTAAAGAAATGTGAGAGGCACAGAAGCAGTGTGCAGAGCTGGGCTGTGAGCAGTGCTGTGTGCTGCTGGGGCGGTGCTCTGACGGACCCCAGAGCTTCAGCTTTGCACCCCTCCCTGCAGACTTGGCATTAGGGTAACAGGAGGCCAAAACGAAAGCTCAAACTGAATCATTAGCTTTATTTCATTACGTTGTACATTTTGAAAAAGGTTTTTATTTTTTCTTTTTTTTTCCCCCCAGGAATATAAATCAGTGGTGGACAGAAAGGGGAAATAGCTGCTAGAAACATCCTGCAGCTAGGGAAAACCTGCTGGTGTGCAGGGATTAAGCCCAAATCTCTGTACTCTCCTCTGGAATATCTCTATATTATCAGTATTGTTTTTAGCCATAAAGCATGCTGTTAGCAGTGTGTACAGAAAATCACAGAATTGCAGAATGGCCAGGGTTGGAAGGGACCTCCAGGATGATGAATCTCCAACCCCCTGCCACACGCAGGGCCACCAACCTGCTCATTTAATGCTAGACCAGGCTGCCCAGGGCCCCATCCAATCTGGCCTTGAACACCTCCAGGGACGGGGCATCCACAACCTCTCTGGGCAGCCTGTTCCACTATCTCACCATTCTCTCTGTAAAGAATTTCCCCTTGACATCCAACCTAAATCTCCCCTCCCTCAACTTAAAACCATTTCCCCTCATCCTGCAATTATCAACTCTTTCAAAGAGCTGATCCCCCTCCCCTCTGTAGGCTCCCCTTAGGTACTGAAGGCTGCAATGAGGTCACCCTGCAGCCTTCTTTTCTCCAGGCTGAACAAGCCCAGCTCCTTCAGCCTGACCTCATAGGGGAGGTGCTCCAGTCCCCTGATCATCTTTTGGCTCCTCTGGACCCTCTCCAACAGCTCCCTGTCTTTTTTGTACTGGAGGCTCCACACTCGGACGCAGTGCTGCAGATGGGGCCTCACAAGAGCAGAGTAGAGGGGAACAATCACCTCCCTGTCCCTGCTGGCCACCCCTCTTTTGATGGAGCCCAGGATCCCATTTGCCTTCCGAGCCACAAGGGCACACTGCTGGCTCATGTCAAGACCCCCAGGTCCTTCTCCACAGGGCTGCTCTCAAGGACCGCTCCTTCCAGTCTGTAGGGATGCC